AACATTTTGACGGTTTTAAAACCTTGACTTTTCCCAACAATGGTATACCTTAATAATGGTTGTCGTCCCATGCTTATGCTCAATGGCTAAATTTTACATCCATAAATGTACATTTTCAAAGAAACACCCTTACTTTTATATTTTCAGAAAGGACTTTTGATTTATATGTGAACTCTTTAAAAGACTATAACAATTATATTGCATGTAAAACTCTTTCTTAGTGTAAATCATTTAAACTTGTTTAAAATGCTGAAATTTTATTTATGGAACCCTTTTTGTTCATATTGGGTCTTTGCTAATGTTCTTTTTTCTTGCATAGGAAATGATGTACGCTCAACACAGACAGATATAAACCCAGAGTAATGTTACACTCATTTGCTCATGAAGTATAGATGAAGGCTAAATTATAATTAAAATTGACTAAAGAGACCAATAGAGATGCATTAATTAAGCTACAAAGAAAATCGCCGAGACTTCATCTGCATAAACGGATGACGGTTGAGCTGAGTGATTTGACACGATTCAGAAGTCTACACTTGTTTGTTGAAACAGACACTTCAAAGTTCACAATACACACGATAAATCAACATAAGATACAATAAAACATACCTTATGCTTCTTCTGAGTGGAGCTGTATAAATGTAAAGTCTGCAAATCTTGCACTTTGCATAGTAAACAATCTGCGGTTGCGTTTTCAAAATAAAAGTCCCGCATGTAAGTTCAAATAAAACATCTTATTCACTTGAATTGTGACAGCTGTGAAAGTTTAGTATTATTGCTTAGTTACTGTATTGCTGAATGTCTTATTAATTTTAGGGGATTTTTTTGTCACAGCACATTTATTTTTGAGCAGACAACAGTGAAAGGCCTTTCAATAAAGCAGTAATAATAGTAAAAGACAACAAATTAATTATTCACATCGGGGTTTTGTTGCATTTTGCATTTATTGGATAATTACAGCATAAACAGACATCACACGCTGAGCAGATATTCAAGCATTACAGAAAGTACTGTTATAAAAACATATTTACAACTCTACATCCTGAACGATGTCCAGAAGATATATATATTTTGACATTATAAGCAATGTGAAATCAAAACTGACCCCATTTACTTTATTCTGACGTTAAAATACAGTAGCATTTACTACCGTACCGCAAAACGTTGTTATCGTAATCCACCTGTGTGTTTAATGCAAGAGTGAAACATTTTCCATTACCAATTTTGCACGTGAGAAAAGGTGCGTTCACATTTAGCATTACTTGGCCTAGATGTGAAAATAAAATCCTTGTGATTGGACATTTAAGATAAAAACTAAGTAAAAATAACAATAATAAAAATAACAATAAAACAAATTAAATTGTATGCTTGGTTTGAAAAATTACTCCAGTGTGAACTGAGCTATTGAAAAAAAAAGACCAAATTTAGTGAAACTAACTCATTTTTCTCTTTGACACAAGAAAAATATATTTATGATTATTCACACCCCTGTTAACCTTGCTGAAAAATCCAGCTTAAACCAGCCTAGACTGGTTGGCTGGTTTTAGCTGGTCAACCAGGCTGGTTTTAGAGGGGTTTTGGCCACTTCCAGGCTGGTTTCCAGCCATTTCCAGCCTGGTCTTAGCTGGTTAGGCAGGGAGATGACCACCTAAAACCAGCTTGACCAGCCTAGCCAGGCTGGGAGCCCAGCCAAAACCAGCTATGTCCAGCTTAAACCAGGCTGGTCAAGCTGGTTTTAGCTGGATTTAGCTGGTCATTTTCCAGCCTGACCAGCTAAGACCAGGCTGGAAATGGCTGGAAACCAGCCTGGAAGTGGCCAAAGCCCCTCTAAAACCAGCCTGGTCGACCAGCTAAAACCAGCCAACCAGCCTAGGCTGGTTTAAGATGGATTTTTTAGCAGGTAAATTCTAACTTGAGCCTCATTCACACTCGCAGCAGCAAATCAACCGTTCATTTCAACAGAGAGCGAGCAAATTCCTGCGACCCTAAGTCTATGTGAGCGACATCGACCGCTGGCGACCAGGTGGGCGTGTCGAGGGACATGACAAAGTTGAGAATCCTTCAACTTTATGCAAATCAAGAGCGACTTTGAGCGACAGCCAATAGGAGCACCAGTAGAGCTCACATGACCTTCTTTCAGCTCCTGCAGTGGCTGCTTGCATTCTCTGTGCTACACAGACCTGCGTTAGCAGCAGGGCGCCAGCCAGAGTGACAGGCAGCTACAAAGTCCCTGCTAGTGTGAATGAGGCATTGAAATTGTTGTTTTTTAAGTGGAAATGACACAGACCTCTCCCAAAAGATAATAAGACAATGTACAAGAGGCATCGCTGTGGAAAAAACTATTTTTAGCTTTTATTTACATTTGAACATAGTCAGAATTTGTCAAGGGGTATGGGTCGTTTCAGGCTTGACGGTGTATAAAATAAGCAAATTCAGCCTCTTTCGACTCGTGAAACTAAGCATGCACTGAAATAAATACTGTGGGCCTAAACCAAATATTGAAACACAGGCTCACTGTGGATACCTACTCCTGTCTACATTCCTGGAGCATGTGAATTATGTACCCAGAGGTATGTCAGGCTGCATTTCGGCTTTAAAACGAACACTACAGGGAGGTGTGACGCTGCCAACGGCTTCTGTTCCTTTTTACGTTACCAGCTGACTGTTTACCTCCATATGGACAGCTTTTCTGCTGTTACCAGTTTGCCCAGTAGCTCACCGGGTACGGTGGTGGACTTGGGATGCAGAGTTGGCAGCAACGATGGAGTTCGAGTCTGGTGAAGAACGGTTCCGGAAACCAGGTAAAACAAATGATAAAAAATAAAGTGAATAAATAAACAACAGGCTAAAAATGTGGTGAAATCATGCAGCCGCGACAGCCTTTTCTTTTCTAGACTGCTTTTGAAAACACTATGGGTTGGGTTAAGGGAAGGGGGAGGGTGGGTCAGTTGGTCAGCCAGTTGACAGCAAGCTGGCCTGCTGTGTGTTTCCGAAAACCATCATTAGCCAACTAAGGTTGCAAGTTCCGTCGTTACAAACAAAGTTTGTTGATTTGCCGTTTAGCAAATCAGTCGTTCCAACGAACATTCGCAAACTGCATCGCAAACTTTTATGCCTGCGACTAGACCTCTGGGGGGTATTCCAGAAAGCAGGTTAAGTTTAAGAGTAAGTAGCTGGATAACCTCAGCATTCGGTTCCGGATACGGGGGTAACTTTTAGGGTATGATAACTAACCTTAGCACCTTACTCCCTGAAGATAACCTGCTCCGGAGCAGGCCATGTTCCAGAGTTTGTCTGTTTCAAAGAGTTTACGGAGCATTGCGTGCTCTTTTGATGAGAATGATGGACGTAGAAGCAGAGATATAAGAGTTTTTTTTAATCGTGAGAGGGTTATATCTGCATAGTTTTTAATTCATATCCAAATGAATATTTAAATGAGCATTGTTGCGTTAATTTATTTAACAAACCTTTAAAAATCAAATGCGACAAACTACTATAACCGATATTTTACGCTATAACGTGGTTCAAGCGATGGATCTGCGACAGAAAATCTACGAGTTTTGGGAAACACTCGTCACTACTTCGTTCTTTTCCCAAACGATGATGTGATAGTTCAGCCGCGAGTTACATCGTTGTTTGGGAAATGCACCCCCTGGTGGGCTAAAGTGTATATTGCGCCCTCTGGTCGATTTACACAAGAAGAGGATGCGCGAGAGAAATTCGAGATCTTCAAAAAGTGCACACAGCGGCCTCTGGTGGATTTGCAAAAACAAAGACTGCGAGCAGACGTACCTCTGGTTATGCATGTCGCTGTTCCCAGATATGTAGACCTGAGTACAATCTGCAATGAGCCTAGGTTGGGATATTCTGAATGCCCTAGGCCAGGGGTTTTCAAAGTGTGAGGCGCGCCTCTCCTGGGGGGCGCCAGAGCATGTCAGGGGAGGCGCGGGAAAAATATAATATAATAAAAATATAATTATTAAGTTTAATTATTATATGTATTTTTTATTATTTTTAAACATTTTAATTAAACAAAGCTAAAAAAAAATATACGTCAAAAATAACAAAACCTTTTTTACCCAGAAGGCCATAGCTGTGAATTCGTTTCTGTTTGGCAAGCCCGCCAATACAGGTATATGCCTGCTAATACAATGGATCGGTTTCTGAGACCCCCCGATTCAAAGCCTTCAAGTTCAGGACTTAAACCCAAAAGACGACGATATGATGATCAGTATTTGAGTTTAGGATTCACGTGAACAGGACCAGCTGATGAACCACGACCTTTATGTGTGGTTTGTCAAGATATTTTGGCTAATGACAGCATGAGACCCGCTAAACTTCGGCGACACCTTGAAACCAAGCATGATGAGGTAGCAGGAAAACCTCCAGAATTTTGTGTGTGCGTGTGTGCGCGTGTGTGCGTGCGTGTTTGGGAGGACGGGGGCGCCAATGGATAAGTTGTGTCAAAAGGGAGGCCCACTGTCGTAGACTTTGAAAAACCCTGCCCTAGGCAGAAAACCGAAACCAAAATGGGTTTGCAATATTATTTATTTTTTAGTTAATAATCTAAAGTAATTTTGTAAGACTTTTGACATTTATCTCAATTTCAAATTTGCCTCATCCCTACTTCAAATATACAGTAGAAGTCAAAATTATTCACCGTCCTGTGATTTTCTTTTTTTAGATATTTCCCAAATGATGTTGAACAGATTCAGGAGTTTTTCACAGTATTTCCTCTAATATTAGTTCTTCTGGAGAAAGTCTGATTTGTTTTATTTCGGCTAGAAGAAAAACAGTTTTTAATTGTTTTAAAGCCATGTTAAGCTCAATAATATTAACCCCCTTCAGCAATATTAGTGTTGGATTGTCTCCAGAACAAACCACTGTTATACAATGACTTGCCTAATTACCCTAACTTTACCCTAATTACCCTAGTGAAGCCTTTACATGTCACTTTAATCTGAACACTAGTGTCTTGAAGAATGTCTAGTCTTATATTATGTGCTGTCATCATGACAAAGAGAAAGAAATCAGTAATTAGAAATGAGTTATTAAAACTATTAAGATTTGTGTTGAAAAAAAATCAAAAATAGTGGACAAATACGTACAGAAGGGCGAGTAGTTCTGACTTCAACTCTACATTCTCTCAATGAAAATTCTGCTTCAAACAAATCTGACATGAAATTGAAAACAAAGTGAGCAGAGTTTAACACAAGCGAGCGCTGAAGGTTTCTCTGCGAGGTTAGACGCCATTCTGGCAGGATATCCTGTGTGAAAATAGACACGCTACTTCTGTTTTCAGGGGCCACGATATCAGCATGAGAGATACTGCAGGATCCGCCGCGGCTTCATCTGAAGTCTGAGATACAGAAATGCTTCCATCAGCCCGAAGGAGCGTCTCATTCAATCGAGTCTGCGTGTGAATTTTAGGCTGTAAAAATAAGTGCATGAGAGGAGCAGAGATGAAGAGTCCTTCAGCAAACCTACAACACACAAGAGGGAGGAGGACACTTTACTTGAATAAGCTTTATTTAGTCCACTGTCAAGTCAGATTGCCTCCGATAAGATGTCATAGTACTAAAAATCACTTATTTGACAATGGACTGCTGAATTATTTGGAAAACTTATTGGTACTGTTGCTTTTTCTGAGGCTTAGTCCCTTTATTTATCAGGGGTCGCCACAGTGGAATGAACCGCCAACTATTCCAGCATATGTTTCATGCAGCGGATGCCCTTCCAGCTGCAACCCAGTACTGGGAAACTCCCATACACACTCATTCACACACACACACATACACTACAGCTAATTTAGTTCATCAATTCCCCTATAGCGCATGTGTTTGGACTGTGGGGGAAACCGGAGGAAACCCACGCCTACATAGGGAGAACATGCAAACTCCACACAGAAATTCTCAAACTGCTCCCGTGTGCAGCACTAGTCTCTTCCACATCTCCTCCAAAGCCTTGAGCTGTGTTTTGCTGTGGTGTTTGAATGTTGTAGCTGTGCAATAACTGAGCGTAGTGATATGGAGCAGCTCTTAACTTGCCGGAACTATTTTATGTGTGTGCATGTATCTGAAAATAACTGCACATCTGAGAATGCTTACCAGCCAATCAGAATTAAGCACCTTCACTCACCTTCTGGTCGGGCAGGACTGGGTTGCTCTGCAGGTGAGTGTTGAGAAGTGCTGCTCCGGGACGGTCGTGTTCACAAAATATGGTGCCGTTTACATAATGGAACCGGTCCCCGGGGACCAACTGGTTTCTGCACGTTGCACAGGAGAAGCACTGGACCAGAGAAGAGAAAGAAATATCTATATATATTAAATATATATATTATTATTATTATTATTATTATTATTAGGCAGCCAGTTGTGATTAAATATTTAAATAAATTTAAATATAATAATAATAAATAATAAAAATGTAATATTAAAATGTGACAAAAATTGTATCAGTTATTTTAACATTTAAACAAAATAAATAAATAAATAAAGACAATTTTAAAAAGAAATAACAATAGCCACAAGTTGCATTGCGAATTGTGCCGTTTTTATTATTAATTTATTAATTAATTTTTATTATTACTACTACTACTAATAATAATAATAATAATAATATTTAGGACTGCCAGTTGCCTGTTTTAATTAAATAATAAAATGTTTTTAAATTAAAATAAATTCATAGAAAATAGAAAATGTAAAAATTCGAATTAATAAAATTTAAATAGAATTAAACAGTCACAAGTTGCATTGCTTGTTGTACATGAAATATGCTGTTGTTGTTGTTATTATTATTATTAATAATATTTAGAGCTTATTCATTATAATAATAAAATTAATAATAATAATAATAATATTTAGGGATGCCAGTTGCCTGTTTTAATTAAATAATTATATTAATTAAATAATATATTGTAATTAAATTAAAATATAAAATTTAATTAAAATAGATTTTAAAATAGTCACAAGTTGCATTGCTTGTTGTAAATTTGTTGTATGTTAATTTTGCAATTTATCATTATTATTATTATTATTTAGAGCTACCAGTTGCCTATTTTAATTAAACAATTACATTTTAATTAAATAATAAAATAGAATTAAATTTAATTAATATTAAATTAAAATGGAATAAAAAATAGTCACAATAATTATTATTATTATTAATTATTCTTTATTATGATTATTATCATGATGATGATTATTATTATGATCATTATGATTATTATGATTATTAAAATTACATTTATTTAAAATAATTACGTTTAAATTAAATTTAAAATGCAAAATTAAATTAAATCTGACTTTTACACTAAAGCAGTTTTTATCAGTGCAACTTTTGGACCTTGTGAGACTTTTTAATCAGGTGTTTCTAATTTGCTGTAAAATATGACAAAGGACAGGTCAATTTCTGCTTGAAATATAGTTTTTCTTTTGAATTTCTAAATCATGCTTTCCGTAACCAACCTTAAGGTGGTAAACGTTTCCCTGCGCCCGCATGACCATTTCACTGGCAGGAATGGACTGACCACACGCACTGCATGCTCCAGTGTGCCCGAACAACCTGAAACACACACACACACACACACACACACACATTGTGATTTCCCACAGAGCCGCTTGTTAAACACCAGAGTTATGATGTTCTCTGTGGGAGCAGGAGACGATGCATCATCATCATCATCATCATCATCATCATGCAAATGAGCACAATGCAAATCAACACAAGAGCAAAACTGCTCGTCAGCATAGCGTGACAACTACAGCTTCACACAACTTTTGCCTGCGCTATTTGAATTGCAAATGACTGTGGAGACTCGAACGGTCTCATTATCGGCTCGCGTCTTTGTTAAAACGATTACGATTCTTTTGGGTGGGTCAGAATGAAATGTGGAGGTGAAGAAATACAGGAGGAGTTAAAAGCCTGTCGCACTCGTTATTAGTGGTGAAAACTAAATCATGTGTGGTATTTGAGGAGCGCATGAGAAGGTTTGGCATTTGTAATTTTGCTTAATTATATCTAATATATTTCCCAGTGATGGGTTGCGGCTGGGAGGACATCCGCTGGGTAAAACATATGCTGGATAAGTTGGCGGTTCATCCCGCTGTGGCGTTCAAAGATTAATAAAGGGACTAAGCTGAAAAGAAAATGAATGAATGAATGAATGAATGTCTAATATAACTCTATCTTTCTGATGCATTTATAGTTTCTAAATGTCAAATTTAGGGCGGCATCGTGGCTCAGTGGTTAGCACTGTGGCCTCACAGCAAGAAGGGCACTGGTTCGAGTCCCGACTGGGTAAGTTGGCCTTTTTTGTGTGGTTTCCTCCGGGTGCTCTGGTTTCCCCCACAGTCCAAACACACGCGCTATAGGGGAATTGATGGACTAAACTGGCAGTGTATGTGTGTGAATGAGTGTGTATGGGTGTTTCCCGGTACTGGGTTGCAGCAAGAAGGGCATCCAATGCGTTAAACATATGCTGGAATAGTTGGCGGTTCATTCCACTGTGGCGAACCCTGGTTAATAAAGGGACTAAGCTAAAAAGGAAATGAATGAAAGATCTCTATCAAAGGCATTCGCCCCAACCACCATTCTCCCTCTCTTCTCAGATGGGATGGCGGGCCAAATCTAAAGCCTCCTTTCCACTGCACATGACAAACGGCAAACTGTGGAGAGTAGTCCGGGAGCTGCGTGGATTTCCGATCATCTTCGTATGCGGTAAATTCGGATCCCAATTGAGCTGCGGATCCGTTGAAATATTTAAACTACACCGTTTGCGACCGGCCGACTGGATGCGATGTATTCCAGTGTTGTTCAAGCAGGTCCGTGTGCGCGAGATGAGAATTAGGACTTTATTTTGTTGTTTAAAAAAAAAAACATTTCTATTCATAAATGTAGGTAATAAAGTAATAAAAATATAATGTTTTATGTTGTCTCCACATTACCTCCGATATATTTAGCGTATATAGCATTTATTTTTAGAGTTTAGAGTTTCTAGTATTCATTCATTCATTCAACCACGGAGAATTGCTTTCGCATTCTTATTTCGGACACAGCGAGAACAGCTTCTCTCCCATGGTGCACGTCAGAACTGAGAATTCTGTGCGGCTGCCACAAGGGGGCGTATTCGGACACTCGTGTCCAAATGCTGTGTTCAGTGGCGGCTTAAGGCTACCATGGGCCCTACTATGGGCATCTGTGTTCTAGAACAGTGGTTCTCAAACTTTTTTCACCAAGTACCACCTCAGAAAAAAAAACTGTCCCTCCAAGTACCACTATAATGACCAAATACAGCACTATAATGAATACAGGAAATACAGTAGCGTGGTAGCCCGAGTAAAGCAGCTACAATGCTGCAATTTAAAATCGTGACAGATTAACTACTATTATTAAGAATATATATTATTATCAGCCACGTTAAACATTATAAACAGCTTGAACATTAACACTCTACTGTGCTTATATGTAAAAAAAAATGAACAAACAAACTAAATAAAATGTCAACGTTTAAATTAAAACTTGCATTTAAAAGTTCATTAAAAACAGTAGGCTACTGTTCTTAAAGTAAAAAAAAATCCTGTATTTAAATGTAAAGTGTTAACCTATAGTATCCTATTCCTCAAAACCTGGAAATGTTGCTTGGACCTCAGAAATATAGGCTATATGTCATCATATTAATATATATAAACTATTTTTGATAAATTTTTTAATATAGGGTTAGTATATATGCCAATATATGTTAATATATGTTGCATGTACATATGACATTGATATTGGATTTCTCCGTGTACCACTAGAAGGAAGCCTGTTACCACAGTTTAAGATCCACTGTTCTAGAAAAATGAAAACTTGTGTCATCCTGGAGTTTTTTTAAATATTTAAATATATTATTATTATTATTATTGATATGTTAAATTATTATATTAATTATATATTATATTAATTATTATATTATATTAAATATTAAATTATTATTATATTATATTATTATTATTATTATTATTGATATATTAAATATATTCCAGTTGGCTAGATATTAATTAGTACTTTAACAGTAGGTAATTATAAATTAATAGTACTTCACTCAACTTTACCGAAGCCTTCTTTTACTTTACGGTTAGTCTTGTGTGTCCGCCATTTTTGTAGTTTGTTTACAGTTTTTACCCCAGTTTGTAGTTCTAATCAAGTTCACATCCAGCACGTTTTGAATCGTGAGCAATATTAGCGGTTAGAGTACAGACAGATCTACACTTGAATATCTACAGGTAATCGTCAACCATCCAGGAACCATTAGCATGCACATTTCAACATACTACGCTTCGGGACACTCTAGGGGGCTTTAAAAGTGCTGGTGTGCTTGATTTAATTTTATTCATTCGTTCTCCTTTGGCTTAGTCCTTTATTTATCAGAGGTTGCCACAGTGGAATGAACCGCCAACTTATCCAGTATATGTTTTACACAGCTGATGCCCTTCCAGCCGCAACCCTGTAGTGGGAAACACCCATACACACTATAAACAATTTAGTTTCCCCAATTCCCCTATAGCGCGTGTCTTTGGGAAACCGGAGCACCCAGAGAAAACCCACACCAACATGAGGAGAACATGCAAACTCCACACAAAAAATGCCAACTGTTCCAGCCGGGACTCGAAGCAGAGACTTTCTAGCTGTGATAACCACTGAGCCACTGTGCACCCGCTTGATTTAATAAATGACCATTTTTACACGTAGATAATGGGCGGTTGTAATCGGAAGTGTTACCTCCTCCCTATCCACCCCACAAACTACACCCCTGCCTGTGTGCCATCCACAAAGCCTGTGTCTGACCTGATGTAGTCGGTCCTGCAGAGGATCATGCCGCTCTTGCTGTAGCACGTGGAGCCGATCTCCCCCAGCTGAGCCTGACAGCAGGAGCACTTCAGGCAGCGCGAGTGCCAGTACCGCTCCATGGAGAACAGCAGGAACCGGTCCGAGATTCGGCCCCCGCAGCCGGCACACGAGCGGGACACACACACACCGCCCGGGACCTGGCTGTTCACCATCACTGCGCCTGAAGAATGCACAAACACACAGGCTTGCTTTTGTGAGTTGTGGGGACATTCCATAGTTTCCATTGTGTTTTTAACTGTACAAACGGAGCAATTTCAGCATTATGGATGTGACATTTGCAGTAAAATCTCAAATCATAAATGCACATAGAAAGAATAAACATGTTAACATCATATTCAGACATCTGCTTACATTTTCCACAACTAAACAGAGTTATGGCATCAGAAAATATTGATCTGTAAACATTTCTTCTATTTCGAATGAAGGAAATAAGCATGTGTTATGGATGTGGCCAAAAAGTCTGCCAGCTTACGGTATACAACATACTTTGTAGAAATTCTGTAAATTAAACTGCACAAGCTATAAGAAACAATGCTAATCAACAGGATTAATATTTATTTATTACCACATAAGAAACTTATGGCTATTTCATGGCAAAATGGATATACATAAAATATTACATGATAAAAGCAAATTTGTATTGCACTAAAAAAAAAAAAGGTTACTTAGACAAATATATAAAATATAAACAGTTAAAATTCACCCCAAAATTTATTCAAAGTTAAATATGATTTTTCAGTTCTATTTTTGATAAATTATTTAAAACTCTACCTGGTGGTACCTTTTTAAAAATGTCCATCAAAGTGCTCTCCTTATAAAAATGTTGTCTAATGGAATTTAAACTTCCACATTCCAACAGAATATGTTTTATGGTAAGAGCAGTCTGGCAGTAACTACATTCAGGTGATTCTTTGTTATTTAATAAAAATAAGTGTCAACCTAAAATGTCCAATTCGACATCTGGTATAGACCGTCTGATCATGCCTGGTCTCAAAATGATAAATTGCTCTAATTAAAAGGATAAGAGTCGGCTCTCTATAGAACAAACATGGTTGATTTGATTTTATTTGACATTTTTAGCATTTATGAGGGAAACGCTTGAATATGGATGTGTCAGATGTAAAACTGGCACTTGTGGGACTTTGGTAAATCAAATATAATTGCTTAAACTTTTAAATTTGAGTAATTTTACAGTGTAAAATACAAGCCTACACAAAAAAAAATCTAGATAGGGTTTTACCATTTTGGTGGAAACTTTTCATAGCAAAGTTGACATTTGCATTGAATTGCTCATATTCTCTTTCCCTTCCGCTAAACCAAACCCTCACAGGAAACTGTGTACACTTGTCCCCAATGTCCTCATAATATATATATATATACTGTATATATATATACCAGGCCCGGATTGGCTAATCGGGAGCACCAGGAGAATTCCCGGTGGGCCGGTCCGTTTTTTTGGCCGTGAGGGCCGGTGTCCCTAGCTGCTTGCACTCTCAGCAGTCGCACTTTTTTCATTTATTTATTTATTTGACCATAGCTTCACTCTTTTTATTTATTATTTTGCCGCAGCGCCGCTCTTCTTATTTATTTTCTCGCAGCCCCGTGAGCAAGATGCAGCCTGCAGGTGAACTAACGTTAATGATGATGTAACGTTAACTATCATAATTCGACCCCAAACAGCGAATTCGAATAATTAATATTAATGAATAATACAGCTGCTCAATGAAAATCAGATGATTTAATACATTAATAAATCTGACATAGCTTAATCAGAAATCTAAAAAGGGGAGAAAAAAATTAAGCCATCAATAGAAAGAACTACCGTGTCTTGCAGTTCACAGTCCAATACTTTTTTTTTCTCTCCCTGAATTGGCGCTATAGTGGAACAGTGGTAAACATGTTGCGTTACTACGCCGTCCGACCCGTGTTCGATTCTCACCTGGAAACTTATATTATTTTTTTTAAGACATATAATACTGTTAGGGCTTTTGAACATTTGAATTTCTAAAGCAGCTGTTTTCTTGAAAAGGACGTGATAGTGTCATTATAAACTGAATGTAAATGACCTTATTTTAATATAGTCAGTCGTGAACTGAGATGGGCCGGTCTGGCTTGAAACTCCAGGGCTGAAAGTGAGTCCCACTCCGGCCCTGATATATATATATATATACACACACACACAGTTGAAGTCAGAATTATTCACCCTTATATATATATATATATATATATATATATATATATATATATATATATATATATATATATATATATATATATATATATATATATATATATATATAAGGAACACATTCACATAAACAACTAAAACTACTACTAAGACACAAATTAATAAAACTAAAAATATTGAAACAAGCAGAAAAAAAAATGTTCACAAAATAAAAACTCGTCAGCGCCAATAGTCTAGTGGTTAGGGTGTCGACACACAGCATCAAGGTGCTCACGGTGACCCGAGTTCAATTCCCGGCTTGAGGTCCTTTGCCGATCCTTCCCTATCTCTGCTACCCACACTTTCCTGTCTGTAAAATCTCCACTGTCTGTTCCCAATAAAGGTGAAAACCCCTTAATAAATTATATAAAACAAAAAATAAAAAGTTAACTAAAACCATTACTAGAACAACTAAAACTAAACTAAAGCTAAATATATCAGATTTCCCAGAGATGGGTTGTGACTGGAAGGGCATCCGCTGCGTAAAAACCTGCTGGATAAGTTGGCGGTTCATTCCGCTGGGGCGACCCCGGAATAATAAAGGGACTAAGCCGACAAGAAAATGAATGAATGAATATATAGAAACAAAGACAAAATAGTTTACAAAAAACTCAACTAAAACTAATTCGTTCATTTTCATTCGGCGTAGTCGCTTTATCTATCAAGGGTCTCCACAGCAGAATGAACCACCAAATATTCCAAGATATGTTTTACACAGAGGATGCCCTTCCAAAACAAAACTGTCCAAAACTGTCATTCATTTTCACTTATTCATTCATTGTGTGGCCTCACAGCAAGAAGGTCATTGTTTCAAGTCGTAGCTGAGTAAGTTAACATTTCTGTGTGGAGTTTGCATGTTCTTCCCATGTTGGCGTGTTTGTCCTCCGGGTCCTCTGGTTTCCCACACAGTCCAAAGACATGCGCTTTAGGGGGAAAAATTTTCAATTGGCCGTAGTGTATGTGTGTGAATGAGAGTGTATGGGTGTTTCCCAGTACTGTGTTGCAGCTGGAAGGGCATCCACTGTGTAAAACATATGCTGGAAGAGTTGGTGGATCATTCCGCTGTGGCGACCCCTGATAAATAAAGGGACTAACCCGAAAGAAAATGAATGAATGAATCCTAAACCATACAAATGCATTAAATAAAAGTACTCATTATGAAGAATTCAGGCAGTCGTCTTCATATTAAAGATCATAGTTTATTTATTTATTTATTTATTTGGCAAATGAAGAAAAGTTAGAAGATGTTTTATGTTTATATAAAAAAAGATGTCTGTGTGGGTATAATCATCTCTTGATGGATGCATTTGTATATAAAAGCGCATCTACACACTACATTGCACAGGAAAGAATAACCTACAGCATTAGCAGCAAACTGAACGCACAAACACACTTCATTAAGCATGTACACACAGACATCACCATAACTGCAGGTTAACTGTGTTTATATATAATAACTTATATTTGATTGTAACTTATAACTTAATTTGATTGCAATGCAATAACGTGCCCCTTTTGTAAAGCTGCTTTAAAATGATAATTACTGTAAAAATAAATAAATAGAGATAGGAGAACATGCAAACTCCACACAGATATGCCAACTGACCCAGCCGGGACTCGAACCAACGACTTTCTTGCAATGAGATGGCAGTGGCACCGTGTCACCATATTATTATCATTATTATTATTATTATTATTATTATTATTATTATTATTATTATTTTATTTCAGCTAGTTTTTCAGTGACTGTTGATAGTTTCATTTTAGTTTTTCATTTGTTGTGAATGTTTGATTTTATTTGAGTTATCCAAAATGACCAATATTTTTCTGATTAACATGTTTCTTTTTTTTTATGATTTATTTAACATTTTTCCATTTTACAAAAATATCAAACAATCCTTACATTTAAATGCAAATTATTAAACTTTATTGAGTCAATTTGATTTTTTTTTAATTATTTTCCAAATATTTTCCAAGTGTCGTTCAACAGAGTGTTTGTTCTGAAGCCAATCTGTTCTGAAAAATAATATTACTTAATAATTATACTAATAATAAAGTTATTATTTATAGATTTTTTTATTCATTTCAGCCAAACTAAAAGTAGTAAGACTTTCTCCAAAAGATGAACATCTTGAACTACAAGGATTTTAAATGGGTACCAGATTTGGTAATTAATTACATTTGAATTAGAGCGATCAAATAATCAATTGCGATTAATGGCATCTAAAAAAAAATTACATAAATACATAAAGAACATTAGGAGTATTCTGCGACCTACAAATGACTGAAACAAGATTTTCTGCCACGTAAACTTTTATTTATTTATTTATTGAATGAATGAATGACATTTTAGTGGGTATTTTCTGGAAATCCTGCTAAAAATAAAAGATGTTAATTATTTTCTTCTTTAAAAAAACTATTTATATTGTACTTAGGAAGAAAAACCATCAATTTCCATCCATTTTAAACTTGAAAACCAGTTTTATCTGAGTCAGTGGACAAAAACATTTCATCAGTATTATTATTTTCTATCGATATACAACCAATGTTCTCTAGAATCAATCTATAATGTCTAAAACTAGTAAAGTAAATAATATCTGGCACTGTCAGTTTTTATAACAAACCAAAAGAGATACAAGACACACATTTTAATCCACTGCAGCATTTAAAACGGTAAAATAGCTAACATAACCTGATATAGCTGCTCAAACTTACTCAGATTTAATTTTAAGTGTAATAAAAGACTTGAAAATTGGTTTTATTTCGCACACTCAGACTTTCTCCTTATTATAATTTCAGCAAAGCATTGTTTGCAAATTCTAAATAGGCAAATAATATTATCAGCCAATGACTATCAAAGTACAACATCGTAAACAGGCAATTAAATGATGCTAATGCTAATTTCAGATCCAATATTCAAAGTAGCGGTAAACAATATAGTTATATATATAGTTATAAGTTGTCACTATTAAAAAATGAACAAATATGCGCTTATAAAACGAATTTTACAACAATTATTAATAAGAGCAGGGGACTGACCTTGAAGATCCTCCAGTCTCCGGAGAGTTTTCAGACTTGATGAAGTTTATTTATCCAGATCAACAACACTCTTATGACTGTCCTCCTCCGCTTCACGCCCGCATTGTACAGTAACCGGCAGCAATATTCAATCAAAGTAGCTTTGACAGATGTTGAATGAACCTGGTGTGTGTAAGTTTACTGCTTGAGTCTCATCATGCAGAATACCTCGACAATTTCCTCCTGTTTCAACACAGAGCACAGCAGCATCACTGACTGACCTGACGGAGCGGCGCGCGCCTTTTTATTCCCAGCGTGATGTTACAGAGCCGCGCACTTCACCTTGATTGGTTTGATAGTTAAGGGGCGTGGTTTATAACATAATTAATATCGCGTGATAAATAAGTAATAATTCCATACAATAAAGCCATCTGACACCTTAATGTAATAATGGAATATATTTCTATGTATTAATTAATTAATTAATTTATTTATTTTTAAAGGTGTTTATTGCAGTTCCCTGATGTTTTGTAAATATTACCGTTTATTTATTGGTTATCCGAACCATTATTTTACGATTGCAAAATACTAACCTAAAAATAGCAATGGAAAACGTTCTTTATATTTAGGTTATTTAAATGACGACCACGCTGTTCTGGAAACGTTATTTTATGGTTGCAAAAGAACATTCTCCTAAAATTCTTTTCTATTATTTGTATTCAATCATTTATTTTCATTCATTCTTTCATTCATTTTGATTAATTCGTTCATTCATTCATCTACTCATTCATTCATTCATTCATTCATTCATTCATTCATTATTTCATTCATTCTTTCCTTCCTTCCTTCCTTCCTTCCTTCCTTCATTCATTTTATAAATTTATTCATTTTCACTTATTCATTCATTTTTATTAATTTATCTATTCATTCATTCATTCATTGATCCATTTATTCATTCATGTGTACATTCACATATTAATTAATTAATTCATTTATTTTATTCATTCATTTAATCATTCATTCATTTATTTTATTAATTCATTTGTTCATTCATTCATTTTCACTCATTCATTCATTTTGATTTATTCATTCATTCAGTCAGTCATTAATCTATTCATTCATTCATGCATACATTCACACATTCATTCATTCATTCATTTTAGTCATTCATTCATTTTCCTTTATTCATTCTTTTTTATTCATTCATTCATTTTTATTCATTCACCCATTCGTTTATTTATTGATCTATTTATTCATCCATGCATACATTTACATATTAATTAATTAATGTATTTATTTTATTCATTCATTTATTCATTCATTTTTTATTAATTTGTCCATTCGTTCGTTCTTTTATTTATTCATTCATCTATTCATTTATACATGCATGCATGTATTCACACATTTATTCATTCATTTTTATTAATTCATTTATTCATTCACTCATTTTTTAAATAATGCATTTATTCGATCCTTTTTATTCATTAATTCATTCATATCATTAATTCATTTTTATTCATTCATTCATTTTCATTAATTTATTTTTATTTTCAAACATTCATTCATTGATTCTCATTCATTCATTTATTCATTCATTCATATAGTTATTCATTAATTCATTAATTCAGTTACATTCATTCATTCAACATTCATACAGCTGAAACACTTTTTTTCATTCAAACGCCCATTACATGTAATATTATTAGCTTATATAATATAACTGAAAGAGACTAAGCCGAATAAAAATGAATGAATGAATGAATGAATGAATGAATTAGTGAGTGAGTGAGTGAGTGAATATACTTATCATTATATTACATAACTATATATAATTTGTTATATTTGTTATAAATTATAATGTCCTGTTTTATTGTTTTCAATTGCTAATATTTAATTATTCATTATATATTTACCTATAGAATTTTATAGTTTTTTTTTACTACGATATGTTGTTTTAACGTATACATTTTATTTATATTAATAAATAGTTAATAACAATATTTTTCCCTCATCCGAGGCACACTTGGATGTTTACTGACCTCTAGTGGCCAAAATCTAGATCCGTATTTAAGATGTTATACAGATCAAATTTGTCATGTACTCTCCCTTTACTTGTTCAAACTGAAGAATGCTGGAAACCGGTAACCATTAACTTTAACAGTATTTGTTTTTGCTACAATGGAAGTCATTGCTTGCAGGTTTCAAGCATTCTTCAAAACAACTTCTTTTATGTTCAACAGAAAAATAAACTCATATAAACACGCGAGGGAGAGTAAATAGTAAGTAAATGTTAATATTTGGGTCAACTATCCCTTTAAATCCAAATGTTTCTACAACTGTAGTGCTGTAATTGGATAAGATCTAAGCCACAGGTGTCAAACTCAGTTCCAAAAGGGCCGCAGCTCTGCACAGTTTAGTTCCAACCCTAATTAAACACACCTGATCAAACTAATTGAGTCCTTCAGGCTTGTTTGAAACCTACAGGTAAGTGTGTTGGAGCAGGGCTGGAACTAAACTGTGCAGGGCTTCAGCCCTCCAGGAATTGAGTTTGACACCCCTGATCTAAACCAAAGGAAAATTAATGAATATAAAGCAATGTTTTCTGGTCATTTTTAAATATTATTACATAAATTATGAACTTGCACATGGCAATTATATTTACCTTCGGCCCACTAGCCTCACTCAAGTTTGGTTTTTGGTCCTTCAAAAGAAAAAGTTTGGGCACCCCTGCCCTGCCAGTGTAGAGGCCTGTAGCGGCCACTAGAGGTCAGACAACACACACACACACACACACACACACACACACACACAAATGCTGGGTTGCATCAACAAAACATTGGGTCAAAAAAGCCATAAAAAATTTCAAATAACAAAAATCCAAATAATTTAATAAAAAAAAAAACATTTATACATGTATATGAATATATAATATGTTACATATTCAACATATAAATACATTACATATATATATATATATATATATATATATATATATATATATATATAAATATAAATAAATTTTATTAAAATGGAATTAAATTTTTTTAATTTAACTGTTGGTTTTGTCCATATTTGAATCATATTATATTATATATAGTTTTCATCTCTCTCAATATGTAATTATTATTATAACTGTATTAAAATCCAAGCATCAACATTATTTGACTATGAGACAAATTTTAGTTTGCATCAACTTGTGTAAAAATTAATTAAACAATAATTTCAAAACTCACATATGAAGCCATATATAATATGGCTCACATATGAACTCATATATATGAGTTCCGATTATTTGACTTACTTAGATGACAGTATTTTGTACAGCATGTGCATCATCAAACACTGATTTCTTATTTATTTTGAAAAGTTTCTGCAACAAAAGATGATTTTGATTCAATTAAATAATTCATTAATAATTACTTATCCAGCATATGTTTTGCTCTTCCAGCCGCAACCCTTCACAGGGAAACACCCACACTCATTCACACACATACACTACAGACAATTTAGCTTACCCAATTCCCCTATAGCGCATGTGTTTGGACTGGAGCAAACCCACAGCAACACGAGGAGAACATGCAAACTCCACACAGAAATGCCAACTGACCCAGCCAAGGCTCAAACCAGTGAGCTTCTTGCTGTGAGGCTACTCACTGCACCACCGTGCCGCCTTTTGCATCCCATATTTTACCATTACCTTTTTTTCCTGTAAACCATTGAGCTGGACCACCTACAAATCAGCAGCATTCCTTTAAAGACATTCAGTGAGTGTTATTCTGTGACCCATTCATAAAAGTGTCCGGTGCATGAATTCTCGCCAGATTTAAACCCCACGGCTCTGTTCTCGGCCGTTCTTCTCAGTGTCATCAATTACACCACTATGTTGTCTTTTCTTTCTCTTGGGAGATTTTTGTTGTCAGGGGACACGTCTGAAAGTTTATTGCGCTTTCTGAAACAGTGACCAATTCATCTGACTCTGCAAACAAACGAAACAGCCTTTTGTTGGTGTATTTGAGGCCCCGAGAGAGCAAACATCTCAGAAAAAGACACGTTTGACATCAACGATGACGCTTGGGAACGCAGACAGACATTGAGAGGACTATAAGTTCTGTCAACCTCCTTTAGTTCATGGAAACACTCTTTACAGTACAACCACAAATCAGAAAACGTTGGGACAGTTTGGAAAACACAAATAAACAAAGAATGTAGTGACTTACTAAATTTACTTTGACTTGTGTTTCATTGCAGACTACACAACAAATATTATTTAACGTGATTTTTATGAACACGCATTCCAATTTTGGTTCTTGTGTAATGGAGGCCAGCTAAGTGCTGTGCAGGTAAACCCAGGGCCGCCGCGTCCATAGAGGCGACCTAGGCGGCCGCCTAGGGCGGCAGTATAGAGAGAGCGGCGTCCGCAACACCCCTCTTATCACCCGTGTCCTCAGTTATGTCCGCGACACCTCCCTCACCACCCACGTTCTCAGATATATTCGCGCATAGGCGACAGAATAGAGAGGACAGGGCAGCGTCAGTGACACCTCCATCAGCACCCGTGTGTCCTCAGTTAAATCCCTGCGTAGGGTGGCAGATTAGAGGTCCGCGACACCCGCGCGTCCTCAGTTATTTCCGCGCATAGGGCGGCAGTATAGAGAGGGCAGCGTCGGCGACACCTCCCTCCCTCCCTCAGCACCCGCGCGTCCTCAGTTATATCCGCGCATAGGGCGGCTGAATAGAGGTCCGCGACACCTCACTTTATTTTCACAACCGGTCACTTTCGTTTTCACATTGGGGTTGAGGGCGGCGTGATCGTCCTCTGCCTAGAGCGGCAGTTCAGCTTGCTCCGGCCCTGGGTAAACCTTACTCCTCTGACCTCTATAGGTGCTCTAGTGACGGACGCTAGAGGTCTTTACCCTCTTTGGTAGAGCAACCGACCCCCGTATGGAAGGTCGCGGGTTTGATACCAGCTCAGAGCCGGTTGAGTGGTGTAGGACTGGTGGGGTTACATTGGTGCAGTGATCTGGATGGGAGTGAGGTTTAGGGGGTGAGTGTAATGGAGGCCAACTAGTAAGTGCTGTGCAGGTAAACCTCACTCCTCTGACCTCTAAAGGTGCTCTACTGACAGACGTTAGAGGCCATGGTCTTTAGCCTCCTTGGTAGAGCAACTGACTCCCATGCGGAAAGTCGCCGGTTCGATTCCAGCTCGGAGCAGGTTGGGTGGCATTGAACAGGCAGAATTTCACTTGCAATACATTAATTTGGGGGAAATGGACGCTGTGTGCTCCGGACCAAAAAATAAAATGATCATCCAGACTGTTACCAGCAACAAGTCCAAAAACCAGGGTCTGTCATGGTATGAGGTTGTGTCAGCGCCCTTGGCAAAAGTAATTTGCACTTCTTTGATGCACCATTAATGCTGAAAAGTACAGAGATTTTGGAGCACAATATGACAATGGACCACATTCTGCACACATTACAAAGTCCAGGCTGCAAAGAGAATACAGGTACTTGACTGGCCTACCTGCAGTCCCGACCTGTCTCCAATAGAGAATGTGTGGCACAATTTGAAGCGACAAGAAAGACCCTGTACTGTTGGTCACCTTAAGACTTGTTTGCAGGAAGAATGGGACAAAATGAAACCTGAAACACTTCATCACTTGGCTGTGAAAAGGACCGGCAACATTACAAAGAGGTACATGCTTTACTGCTCCCAAAAACATGACTGAATATAACATCACAAAATAATTGTACAAATTGTCAGTCTTTAATTGAAGTTTCTTTTGAAGTTGCACAAACTTGAACAATAACATTTTTAACTTTAATTTTGAGGTTTTAGGTTAAACGACTAACTTTTATTAGAGCCCACTGTCCATTATATCTTTCATCAGTAAATGCAATCATTCTTTTCTCTATGCAATCTATGAAATATTGGCAAACAAATCAATTAAATGTGAATAAAAGCATTGAAAATGTTGCTTGATTCTGTGTTTGTAAAGTGCTGCTTCTCTTCAGCATATTTCCCAAAAAACAGCAGGGAAAGCATTGCTGCCATTTAATTAGATCACAAAAGCCCAATACTACGGGCAGCAGTTCTTAAACTTGCTAAATGCACCAAAAGCCAAAACAAACAAAACTTGCTGCGTCCCAATTCGCATATCCGTCAGTATGTCCCAAAAAAATCGAAGCGTAAAAGCGCCTGCTAATTTTAGCTAAAATACATTGGGCGTTGGACGTGAAATTGATTAGAACTACAAAACTCTGGTAAAAGGTGTAAATAAACTACAAACATGGCGGACGCGCGCGAGACCAACCGTCAAGTAGAGAGGCTTCGGTAAAGTTGTTTGAATGACTATTAATTAATATCCAGCCAGCTCGAAAATATTACAGTCACGTTTTCCGTGTTATATTTCATCTGCCACAACAATGTGAACTTATTTAAAGACGTGTTTGAACATTAACATCTGAATACAAAATTTTCCTAAAGACCTGAGGAGATTTCTCTGCATGAAAGCCTCACGAATAGCTATTAACACACAGCTGAATCTATAATAAGGTAATTAAATATGAAGGAAATGTGGGTGATGTGTAAAATCATTGACAGGGGATATAGCTAATTAACATAACGATCTGTTGTAGCTATATTGGGACACAGCATATCGCTGTCCTTTAAGAAGCACGTGGTGTTGACAGAATCAGTCATGGAACAAGCAGTTTTCTTGAAGATGTTTTGTTTATTTGTGACACAATCTGACCAGCATATAATCATTGATATTCAACATCTTTGCAATACAAATAATCGTTCACTCGTATACAAGCGAGAGTCTAGAATTGCCCCGAAAAATGAAGCAGTCTCAAAAGAGTCACTCCACCGACAGTGAAGCCTGTACACTTTACAAAAGACAAACCTACAGTCATGCACTGAAACATATCTCCATCATGACCTCTTACACACAAAAAACTGAAAATAACACATCTATACATCTCAATATATGAGTAAAACTCTGCTGTATAAAAGAATGGATAGAGCATATATTATTATAAAAGAATAAACATATTAAAAAGTCTTAATTTTCTCCCTTAATCAGGCAACTCGTTTAATTTTATCCACAACAACCTCAAAACTAGTGCATTTTCATTTCCTTCCAGCGTCAGGATGTCATTAATCTGATCATACGCCTCTAAATATAAAACACTTCAATGCTGTACAATGAAACAGAATAAATATAGGCAGAAAGATGGAAAGATGAACACATTATCAGATAAATCTCATAAAATGGAGTCAAAATGTCACGTTTGATTTAATTCAGAGTACAAACTGAACTTGTGGCACACTGGAAAATCAAAGAAAAAATGATTAAGAGACCAAAACTGTCAATAATTAAAACAGTATGCTTCTGAACGGGGGAAACTGCTGTAGCTCTAATTGACTCACTAATGAATTAGCTGTTCCACTGAGGGGCAGTCGATGTCCAATATCAATATACTCTCGTTTTCAGATGTCTCATGTTTGAATACACTTTTTTTAGTCAGTTCTAAACTCCTTTAACCTAATTATTTTGATGTTAGACTCCTAAAATTAAAGTTTCTTTATGGCATCAATGCTTCAACAGAGAATCTTTACATTCCACAAAGGCATCCTAATGGAGTAAAACGTGTCTTTATATTGTTAAAATGTTCTTCATAATAAATATAGTTCTCTGAAAGTACATCAATGCAAAAATCAATTTAGGAACTTTTTCCATTTAACAGTGGAGGCATTTCAGAATAAGATAGTAAGATTGGTATTTGTTAGTACAGTTATCCAATCAAATCATCTGCACAAAACAAAATAATAAACATTTTAAGTTATATTTTTCCTGTTAAAATCCAAAAACTGCGCATAGGTCTATGCAAAAATGCACGGAAATGCAACTATAATGTTACTTTGGAATATTTACATTTTAAATTAAACATATTTGCAAAAGTCAAAGCAGAAGAAAAACAAATAAAGTGCAGAACTATACATATAAGTCTAAAAGAGCGACACAGAACACTGAAATCTGGGGTCTGTTTAAAAGAACAGCTGCAAGTGGGCTCTCACACTTGAAAAATACTATAGCAATTTATGGTTACTACCCCAGTGGACAAGTGGGTGTCAAAACAACATCAAAAAGCATGTCAATAACATGTCAAAAATGCAAAACCTTGACATCCACTAGTATTTTCTATAAATGACTAGAGTATTCATTCTACTCACACTCATACTATATAGAACAGACTTTTCTAATAGCCCTGTAGTAAATTTAAATGCAAATGTAGTACCTACTCAAGTGGTAGGTTGCAGCTTGTTACTGAATAAAACAGCTTAAACTAACCTAAGGTGGTTGGCTGGTTTATCATGGTTGATTTTAGCTGGTTGACCAGTCAGGTTTTACAGGGATTTTTGCCATTTCCAAGCTGGATTCAGCCATTTCCAGTCTGGTCATCTCCCAGCAGTTTAACCCGGACATAAATGGTTTGCAAATCAATTAGATATCAAAACCTTGACGTCCATTTGACACCCACACATTAATGGCCTTATGACCATCAAATATCAATATTTTTAACATAAGACTATTCATCTGAAAGCTTCAATTACAAAATACAGTAATTATTTGAATGCATGTAAACTACCTAATGTCAAAACGGCATCAATACGCCCGCTGGAGCTATAGTGTTTTTGAACCATAATAATAAACTGTATTATAATGCATGTATTATAGTATTTATGACTCTGCGCCACAGCCATATCACCCTGCAGCCCAAGACCGGTTATTCACTGAAGCTAAGCAGGGCTGAGCCTGGTCAGTACCTGGATGGGAGACCACTAGGGAACACTAGGTTGCTATTGGAAGTGGTGTTAGTGAGGCCAGTAGGGGGCGCTCAACCTGTGGTCTGTGTGAGTCCTAATGCCTCAGTAAAAGTGAAGAGGACACTATACTGTCAGTGGGCGCCGTCTTTCGGATGAGACGTTAAACCAAGGTCCTGACTCTCTGTGGTCATTAAAAATCCCATGGCACTTCTCGTGAAAGAGCAGGGGTGTAACCCCGGTGTCCTGGCCAAAGTCCCTCTATTGGCCCTTACGATCATGGCCTCCCAATCATCCCCTTCCACCGAATTGGCTCGATCACTGCATGTCTCTCCACTCAACCAATAGCTGGTGTGTGGTGAGCGCACTGGCGCCGTTGTCCTGTGGCTGCCGTCGCATCATCCAAGTGGATGCTGCACACTGGTGGTGGTGTGGAGAGACCCCCCTCATGATTGTGAAGCGCTTTGGGTGTATGACCATACACAATAAATGCGCTATATAAATACACATTACATTACATTACATGACTCATTGTTAAGAATTGCTACAGAATACTGTAGCTGATAAACTGTAAGAGATAGTATGCTTTACTATTTACTACAGTAAACTATTACTGTTAGTACGCTGAGAGCAGGCTGGAAATGGCTTAAACCAATCTGAAAATGGCCAAAACCACTCTAAAACCAGACTGGTTAACCAAATTAAACCAGCCAACCAGCTTTGGCTAGATAAGCAGATTGTTTAGCAGGGTTTTCAGTGTGTGAAGGTGTGTATGTCGTTGTGCAGGCTGACAGCAGGCGAAGATCGTCCTCTCTTAGCTCTGCAGAAACTCTTACTGCATCTGCAGGTCTGGATCCACATGACGCTTCTCGTGATGTTTTCTCCATCCGGACAGCGGAAACGCATGCGCACTGTGCGGGTCGAGCGCGGCTGACAGCATCGGTCGTCCACACATGAGCCGCAGGACCGAGGACGGTACCGGCGAACCGTGGAGCAGCCTGCAAACGTGATCAGCTCCGGCTTACGAGGTCTTGTTGTACGTCGACACTTCTTTCCTTTCTAAATGACAAAATGAAGCAACAAGAATATGTTAAAGGAGTGTTCACACCAAGGAGGACGACTATAAATATAACATAAACTATTTGTGTACACACCACTAAACAATAATGAGGATCTGCTCATTTTTAGTTTAATAGTTTCTCTTTAATTCCCTTTTGTAACCAGCAGGTGTCCTCGTGAACCGGTGAATCCAGCTCGTGTAATCTAATTACTAGTAACGTTTTAAAATACAACAAAGATTATTTCTAAGTAATATTTTGTGTCAGTCTGAACATGAATGAAAAGCCAACATGACGGAGTGAATGCTGTATTAATGTTCACCTTCAGATGTGGAGTGGCGTCACACGGTGTGATCTGGCAGAGGCGAGTCTCTCTGATTAACCTGCACTGAGCGTTACTGTTGGTCACTCGACTGGACACACCAAACCCGCAGGAAGCAGAGCATTCAGACCAGTCTGTGGTCTGGGAGAAACATCCGGGAGAAGGGAAGGGAATCTCGGACACCGGCGCTGACGACCACTCTGAATACGAGGAAACATACAGTATGTGGCTGCTCAGATAGTCTAGGTTGATAAAGGGTTTCATTAAGGTTGCTAGTGCACAGCTAGTACGTTTCTAGGACACACAATGCTATTCAAAAGCATAAAAGTACGGAAAACATTCATTCAAGTCTTTGAAGCATCCAGGAATCACAAACTACAGGGACCTGTTAATTAATAGCCATTTTTAACTGTGTAGTGATTCTACTATCCACTTGTGATGAATGCAATACTATTTTCGGGTCCAAGCCTCTTGTTTAATTTGATTAAAATAAAACTCAATCTGAATACCCGCTTAGATCACTTTTTTCTTGCTACATGACCAGCAAAGAACCAGCATTTGACCAGCAAAGAACCAGCTTAAGACCAGTTAAACTAGCTCATGACCAGAAAAGTACTATCTTAAACCAGATTATGACCAACAATAACAAACAAGAACCAGCTGAAAGTAGCTCATGACTAGGAAGAACTAACTTAAACCAACTAATGACCAGAAAGAACCAACTTAAACATGCCCATGATAAGCAAAAAAAATCTTTAACCATCTTATGACCAGCAAGAACCAGCCTAAATCAATTTATGACCAGCAAAAATCATCCTATAACCAGCAAGAACCAGCTTAAACCGGCTCATGAACAGTAAGAACCAGCTTATGACCAGCAAGAACCAGCTTAAACAAACTCATTACTTGCAAGAGCCATCTTAAATCAGCTTATGACCAGCAAGAACCAGTTTAAATCATGACTAGCAAGAACCAGCTCATGGCCAGCAAGAGGCATCTCAAGATCAGTAAGAACCATCTTAAACCAGCTCATGGCCAGCAAAAACCTTCTCATGACCAGCAAGAACCAGTAAGAACCATCTTAAACCAACAAGAACCAGCTTAAACCAACTCAAGAACAGCAAAAAACAGCTTAAGCTTGCTCATGACCAGCAAAACTGTATTTAACCATCTTATGATCAGTAAGAACTAGCTCAAACCTGTTAAGACCAGTAAGAATCATCTTAAACCAGCAAGAACCAGCTTAAACCATCTCATGACCAGCAAGAACCAGCTGAAACAAACTCATGACCAACAAGAACAAGTTAAAACAGCTCATGACCAGCGAAAACATCTCATGACCAGAAAAAACCAGTTTAAACCAGCTCATGACTAGCAAGAACCAGTAAGAGCCATCTTAAATCAACAAAAAACATCTTAAACAAACCCATGACCAGCAAGAACCAGCTTAAACCTGCTCTTGACCAGCAAAAACCATCTCATGACTAGAAAGAACCAGTTTAAACCAGCTCATGACCAGCAATAACCATCTCATGACTTGCAAGAACCAGTTAGAACCTTCTTAAACCCACAAGAACCAGCTTAACCCTGCTCATGACCATCAAAAACTGTATTAAACCATCTTATGATCAGTAAGAACCAGCTTAAACCAGCTATTGAGCAGTAAGAATCATTTTAAACCAGCAAGAACCAGCTTTAACCTGCTCATGACCAGCAAGAACCATCTCATGACCAGCAAGAACCAGTAAGAGCCATCTTAAACCAACAAAAAACAGCTTAAACAAACCCATGAACAGCAAGAACCAGCTTAAACCTGCTCTTGACCAGCAAAAACCATCTCATGACTAGAAAGAACCAGTTTAAACCAGCTCATGACCAGCAATAACCATCTCATGACTTGCAAGAACCAGTTAGAACCTTCTTAAACCCACAAGAACCAGCTTAACCCTGCTCATGACCAGCAAAAACTGTGTTAAACCATCTTATGATCAGTAAGAACCAGCTTAAACCAGCTATTGACCAGTAAGAATCATTTTAAACCAGCAAGGACCAGCTTTAACCTGCTCATGACCAGCAAGAACCATCTCATGACCAGCAAGAACCAGTAAGAACCATCTTAAACCAACAAGAACCAGCTTAAACCAACTCATGACCAGCAAGAACCATCTTATGACCAGCAAAAAACAGCTTAAGTCTGCTCATGACCAGCAAAACTGTATTTAACCATCTTATGATCAGTAAGAACTAGCTCAAACCTGTTAAGACCAGTAAGAATCATCTTAAACCAGCAAGAACCAGCTTAAACCATCTCATGACCACCAAGAACCATCTTATGACCAGAAAGAACCAGTTTAAACCATTTCATGACCAGCAAGAACCAGTAAGAACCATCTTAAACAAGCAGGAACCAGCTTAAACCAACTCATGACCAGCAACAACCAGCTAAGACCAGCTCAGGACCAGCAAGAACCATCTTATGACCAGAAAGAATCAGTTTAAACCATTTCATGACCAGCAAGAACCAGTAAGAACCATCTTAAACAAGCAGGAACCAGCTTAAACCAACTCAAGACTAGCTAGAACCAGCTAAAACCAGCTCATGACCAGCTTAAACCATGCTAAACCTGCTCATGACCAGAAACTGTGACGTCAGACTAAACCAGTGTGATATCTGAGTGATTTCTGACAGCAGTGTGAGTGTTGTTGTGTTACCCTGAGCTGCGGGTCTGCTGCGGTGCTCCTGCAGGAGTTTGCTGATGTGGTTGTACTGCGGTGTGTGTTTAGGCAGCGGCTCCTCCTCTCTGATGCTGTTGTCGCTGTCACACACCCAGCGCTGGCAGCAGTGCCCAGTCGGCGTCTCCAGCCGAGGATTGGTGCAGTGTGAGCCGGGCAGCGGGACGAGGAGCGGGCACAGTGGCACACAGCCCACCACACCATCAATACAGCTGCACTGGTGCTCGCAGCCCGTCTGGAAGTCCTCACCATGTTGATACACACGACCAGAAAACTCACACGGACGACCATGAGCCTCCGCTGACACACACACACAGGACACAGACACACACACACACATTATTTTTCAAATATTTCTCAAATGATGTTGAACAGATTCAGAAATTTTTCACAGTAGTTCCTATGATATTTTTTCTTCTGAAGAAAGTCTTGTTTGTTTTATTTCGGCTAGAATAAAAGCAGTATTTTAAGGGCAGGTGGCAACCCTGATGTTAGCCACGCTCAATACCAGACACAACCTAATCTGAGAGTTTAACTGAACATAAACAGGAAACATTTCAGATTTCAATTAAAGATCACAAGGGCAAACAATTTTTTCTTCTCTTAACGACAAGCATTGATGAATTGTTCACCACAAAACTAGCAATGCGAGCGAACAAAATCAATCTGCTTAGTTTGGTTTTCACGTAGGAGCAAAAGTGTTTGCTTAACGTTAGGTAATTATGCTGACCTCTGCAGAGTCCGCGTTGAGGGTCTCCTCCGGCCCCCAGGTGGCAGTGCAGGCCCTTGATGTGGTCGCAGGGCAGGTCGGAGCCACAGTCCTGGTTGAACTGTTGAGCGCAGACTTTACAGCAGCCGCAGTTGTCCCACACCCTGCTGACACCCCGTGGGCAGGATGGAGGAGACGGAGGGCAGGAGCAGGGGCCTGGACAGCCACGAGACACCTGAACACACACACACACACACACACACACACACACACACACACACAGAGCTTTTACTAGCTGTACTTCTAGATAAAGACGCAAATTAGATTTACAGTTTAAATCAAAATTATTAAGCAATATATATTTTTTAATTAACTCAACAAAAAAAACACTGTTATACAATGAGTTGCCTAATTACCCTAATTTTACCCTAATTACCCTAGTTAAGCCTTTAAATGTCACTTTAAGCTGAATACTATTATGCTTACATCCTGGGCTTAATTTGTGCCTGCTCATTTTGTGCACCTCATTTTACCGATCCCCCTCCATACACACACCCCCACCCTGCCCAGCTTTTCCCTTTCTTCCGTGACTCCCCAACCCTCTTCCCTTTCTTCCGTGACTCCCCATCCCTCTTCCCTTTCTTCCATTACTCCCCAACCCTCTTCCCTTTCTTCCGTGACTCCCCAACCCTCTTCCCTTTCTTTCGTGACTCCCCAACCCTCTTCCCTTTCTTCGTGACTCCCCAACCCTCTTCCCTTTCTTCGTGACTCCCCAACCCTCTTCCCTTTCTTCCATGACTCCCCAACCCTCTTCCCTTTCTTCGTGACTCCCCAACCCTCTTCTCTTTCTTCCGTGACTACCCAACCCTCTTCCCTTTTTTCCGTGACTCCCCAACCCTCTTCCCTTTCTTCGTGACCCCCCAACCCTCTTCCCTTTCTTCGTGACCCCCCAACCCTCTTCCCTTTCTTCCATTACTCCCCAACCCTCTTCCCTTTCTTCGTGACTCCCCAACCCGCTTCCCTTTTTTCCATGACTCCCCAACCCTCTTCCCTTTCTTCGTGACTCCCCAACCCTCTTCCCTTTCTTCGTGACTCCCCAACCCTCTTCCCTTTCTTCGTGACTCCCCAACCCTCTTCACTTTAGTCTGCAACTCGCCAACACTCTTTACTTTCGTCTGTGACTCACCATCCCTCTTCACTTTATTCCGCGACTCCCCAACCCTCTTCACTTTCGTCTGTGACTCCCCAACCTTCTTCAATTTCGTCCGTGACTCCCCAACCTTCTTCAATTTCGTTCCATCGACCCTTCCACCCCCACCCTTATCTTTTCACTTAACAAACGAAATTAAATATATCGGTTAATGGATGTCTTCAGTGATGTGAGTTTCCACAGTTTCCTTACTTCACCAAAGTAAAGGAGTAAAAAGTAAAGTAAAGAGGCTGAATGGAGGAGGCTCCTTCTTTATCCTCGCGATGCAGATGCTCTGTTTAACTGTTGTCTCGCTAGTGAAGCAGTCAGTCTTTTTCTGTCTTTAAAATAGCAAAAGTGGATTCGGACACGAAATTAATGCTCTTGCGCTACGAGCTTTAGACTTTGCGTCTAGGTCGTTAAAATTGAGCCCTTTAAGTTGAAACACACGCTCAGAGCTTTCACTAGCTGTGTTTCCATATAAAGATGCAGATTATTCTAATGATACACATGACAGCTTTTTGAGCAGTGTTACTGGGCAGCTTTGGGAAATGATGCCATAAATGGGCAACACAGGGTAACCAATTTGGGAAATGGGTTACAGATACAATATTGTTGTCCATTCTTAATAGAAAAGTAGCGAAGCAACAATGCTCAAAACGTTGCCCTGTGAATCACCAGCATTAGATTTATGCGCAAAACTGGAATTTGGCATAAAGCTTTAGTGAATAAAGCAGCGTTTCCATCTAATGAGAAACAAAAGAGATAAAAATAATCAATTCCTGATAAACTAGTGCAAATATCAGATCGGAGAAGCCAATGTGCTGTTTTTTTGTTCTCTAATAAACGAGTTGTGCCTCAGAAGATGAAATGCAATGAACGCGGCGAATGCGGTGGCTTTTGGAGGCGTGAGACGCTCTTTGGGAGCGCAGACAGATGCTCAAGACAATTCTGGAGGTAATAATAATAAAAGAAGAATAATACTGAAGCACTGTGATGAAAATGAGAAGAAATAGAAATGAGCAGAACAACATTTCAGATGCTTTAGAATGTGCTGGAAACGCTGGTCGGTGCATTAATGACGTCCCATCACACACATTTATATCATCTGTTCAAACAAAACCACATGACTCTTTCATGCGCATACTGGAGTTCATTTGGTAAACACGTGTTTCCATCATCGTTTGTACAAATTCTTTCTTATCATATAAAATTGTATCTCTATCCTAATCTTACTGCTTCCATCAAGCATTTTTTTATGTGGTAGTCCAAACTGCGCATAAATATATGTGGATGGAAACAGCTCGTTTCATCACAGTAGAGCTGGTTTTTCACAGCCTGTGTGTGTGGGTTAGACTGTGTTTATATAATACGCTCACTTAGGTGTCTGTGTTTGAAGAGTGACTGTAGAATTAGAGCATAAATAAACAGCGTAAGATAAACTGCGCCACTGTTACCATTGGGAGCTATTTCTGATCTCACTACAAAGCACTTTTTAATGCAACTGTAGTCAGATGGTCAGGATTAAATATGACAGTCAAATTAAAAAGATGAATTTGAAATATTCCCAGTACTGGGTTGCAGCTGGAAGGGCATCCGCTGCATAAAACATATGCTGGATAAATTGGCGGTTCATCCCGCTGTGGCGACCCCTGATTAATAAAGGGACTAAGCCGAAAAGAAAATGAATGAAAGAATGAATAAGTTTAAAATAAAAGTCAGAATGAAAAAATTAAATAATAGTTTTTTTTAATGATATCTGGTACAAAGGCTGCATTTATTTGATTATTAATGCAATAAAAATTGTGAAATATTATTACAATTTAAAATAACTGTTTTCTAATTGAATGCATAATAAAATTTAATTTATTCCTGTAATGAAAAGCTGAAATTTCAGCGTCATTATTCCAGTCTTCAGGATCAAATGATCCTTCAGAAATCAGCTTAATATTATGATTGTTTTTTAATACTTTTATTACTTTACAATATGTTTGATGGAAACCATGATTTTTTTCATGGTTTGTAGAATGATTAGACTTAAATAACAATTAATTTGACATAAAAAAACACATGAAAATAAATTATTATAATGAATGTCTTTAATCTCACTCTTGAGGATGATTTAATGCATCATTTGCTTAATAAAAACATTAAAATGTATATAAAAACAAACAAGTTAAAATATATATAATATGTTTAGCTAATATAATTTAATGTATTTAATATATTTAGAGGATATTTTCTTTCAGCCGTTTATTTAGACTTTTTACAAATATATAAATGTAATCACGTACAATTTACCAATTTGCTTTATAATGTTTATATATATATATATATATATATATATATATATATATATATATATATATATATATATATATATATATATATATATAATTTAAGTTAATTTAATATAATGTATTTAATATATTTAAAGAATATTTTTTTCAGCCTTCTTATTTAGACCTTTTAATAAAATATAAATGTAATCACACACAAGTTAAAAAATATATAATGTATTTAGCTATTATAATATAATGTATTTAATATATTTAGAGTATATTTTCTTTCAGCTATTTTATTTAGACTTTTTAAAAAATATATTAATTTAATTACATACAATTTAACAATTCACTTTATAATATTTTTATTACTTTTATAGTTTTTGATAGAAACCATGATTTGAGTTTTTTCATGATTTGTAGAATTATTAGACTTAAAAAAATAAATTTATTTAATTAAATTAAAACCCACATGAAAACATTATAATTATAAATGTCTTAAATCTCACCTTCGATGATGATTTAATGCATCATTTGTTTGCTTAATAAATATATTTTTAAAACTTTTTTTAAATTATATAAAAAATAAACAAGTTAATATATATATATATATATATATATATATATATATATATATATATATATATATATAGATAGATAGATAGATAGATAGATAGATAGATAGATAGATAGATAGATAGATTAATGTAGTTAATATATTTAGAGTATATTTCCTTTTAGGCTTTTTATTTAGACTTTTTAATAGATTAAAAATAAGTACAACCACATGCAATTTACATTAACGGCTTTTAATGAACATTTTTGCACGTTATGAGTTTATTTAAAATGACTTAAGCTGAAATCAAATAAAAAGCAAATATTCAATGCACAAACACATAAAATGAATCAGTATTATGAATGATTGAATCCACAATTATTGATTACCAAATATGATCTTCACCAGAAAACACTGTGAAGTGTGCAGTAGTGTGTGAAATCTCCTCACCTCTCCGTCAGCAGAGCAAACCACGAACAACAAAACAACCCAAGTGTGTGTCCGCGTCCTCTGATTTCTTCCAGAATGCATTTCCAAGCGTTGACCAAGATTTAAAGTAAGTCCCCAATGCAAAACAAGCAGGTTTATCCACTTTCTAAATCACTCCAAAGATTTCAGAGCGTGTCTTTCAGGTTTAAAGCTAGTGCATCTGCAAAGTGCATCAGTCAGACTATAGATACTAGACTAGAATTACAGCAAGACCCAAAGCCTGAGCACTGGGCTAGTCAGTGTTACAGAGCATTTACGGCGGAGCAGCTCACCTTATAGAGACTGAGAGAGAGAGAGAGAGAGAGAGAGAGAGAGAGAGAGAGAGAGAGAGAGAGAGAGAGAGAGAGAGAGAGAGAGAGAGAGCAGCTGGTCTTCTATTGTTTGTGCACAGCTGAAGTCAGAATTATTCGCCCTCCTGTGATTTTTTTAATTTCTTCATCAAATATTTCCCGAATGATGTTGAACAGATTCAGGAATTTTTCACAGTATTTCCTCTAATATTTGTTCTTCTGGAAAAAGTCTGATTTGTTTTATTTCAGCTAGAATAAAAGCAGTTTTTAATAGTTTTAAAGCCATTTTAATGTCAATATTAGCCCCCTTCAGCAATATTAGTGTTGGATTGTCTCCAGAGCAAACCACTGTTATACAATGACTTGCCTAATTACCCTAATTAACCTAGTGAACAGTGTTGGGCAAGCTACTTGACAAATGTAGTGAGCTAAGCGATTAGCTACTCTACTTAAAATGTAGCTTAACTACACTAAAAGCTACCCTCTGGGAAATGTAGCAAGCTAAGCTAAAAGCTACATGGCAAAAGTAGCTAAGCTACATCTAAGCTATTTTAAATTTAACATTTTTAAAATGAAGCAACTTAAATCCAAGTCAAACATCCTAAAACTGCCAATGAAACAAATGAGGCACAATAGTTCAGTTATTTACTGTAAATAGTATGCTTTACTAAACAGAAACAAATTATAGTATAACAGCTAAAACAAAGAAAAATCCAATAAAACCAGGTGTTACACATTTAAAATACTCTAGTCATTTACAGGGCCGGAGCAAGCTGAACTGCCGCTCTAGGCAAAGGACGGTTATGCCGCCCTCAACCCTAAAGTGAAACCGGGGGTGGGGGGTTGTGTCGAGGGACACCACCCTCCCTATTCTGCCGCCCTAGACGCGGATATAACTGGGGGCGGGAGAGGTGAGGATAGTGTCGGGGACGCCGCCCTCTGTATTCTGCCGCCTAGGTCGCCTCTATGGACGCGCCGGCCCTGGTCATTTATAGTAATGTTTTGGAATAAGCATTATACTGCATGTATATATACAAGTATTTCTGAGCACAGCATCAGAAATTAAGTTATTGCATGTTAACATGTACTTCTCGAGGTATGGTCACGAGGAATCCTGCTTCAGAAATAACTCCTCTCCCTCAGTCATCTGTCCATCTAGCAAGTTTCGGTTAGCGTCATCGCCAACCAGAGGTGGCAGTAACGCACAGAAAACTTTGCTTTTTGTGTTGCTTTTATAGTGAAGTTTTGTTTTCATTTTCTCTCTGTGAGAGCTCAGCTGGAGTCACGTGTGGATTAACAGTGTACGCGACGCTCGACAACAATAACTTACGTGTCTAAGGAGGATTATTATTTACCTGAGAGCTGTTCTCATCTGCAAACGCTGAAATCCGGATTCGCTTGTAGTCTCCTCTTAATAAAGACGCGGCTCTAGTTGCTGGTGATTGTCCTGTCTCTACAGATTTGGTAAGTGAGCGAGCAGTGCTCTTTGTTTATTCAGTTTGTTCGTATCGAACTAAGTTAACTATTGCTCTGAGTGTAAACATGTTAGCAAAACAACCAAACTTTAACCTCGTGAAGGATTTTCACCACATTTTGTGACCAGAATAACACACGCGGCTTTCTGACGCTACCTGCCGTGTGCATCTAAGTTTCCAGGAAATGCGGAGGGTTTTTTTCTCTCATTCGCCGTGCGGTATCAAACATTGCATGAAAAATACACGCTTAGAGCAGTTCCTCGAATCAAATATTTTGTTTGTCGCGAGGGACATGAATGAATTCCCTGAATGAAAGAGCCACACTGCAGTTAAAGTCCACCATTTAATAATTTGGCAAATAATTCGACTACACATGTCCATGTAAACACAGTCACATTGTCCGCTGTGTGTGTGTTTTGACTCTGAAAGTCAGCGCGCCCAAATAGGCACTCCCACACCATCCCACTTTAGTTCCTCCGACACTCCCCCCTGAACAGAGCTGGACACGCCCACTTTTCTGACTTTTTCCAAAGTAGAGGTGTGAAAACACCCTGCTGAAACGAGGGCGTTTCATGGCCCTTTAATATAAAGTATTAAACACATTTCAGTAGGTCAGCACTTTCTCCTTGTGTCATTACAGAAACTAATTCAGTTTTGTTTTATTGTTTGGGTTTTTACCAAAATATGCTTCAGTTCCATGTCAGCAGCTCCTTTAGAAATATTATTCCCAGGAAAAAAAAAAAAAAACATGTTCAATCCTTATTTCTCCCACTGTGTCTGCGTTTCTGGAGACGTGAGGACGAGGGTGTGGATGCAGATCTGCTAAACGAGACTGTCGCTCTCAATAGTGTGCATTACAAACCACCGTGAAATGAAACGCAACCGCAGACACACTGAACACACGGTCAGCTATGGGTGTTCACCTGACCGCGCCGCTTTAATTGGGCTTTTGTTATGAGTTCAGAAAGCAGTGCGTTGAATAACAGTGTCATAATCACGGTGGAACAATTGAGAAGGGAACTCCAGACGCTTTCCGCTCGGGTGGGAAATCCTGGAAAATCCCCATAAACAACTCAGCTCTCACATGTTACGCAAACACTTTCTACCGTTCTCACACTTCCTGCTGCACTCGCTCACTTCCTCTCACTGTTTCCTGCGTTCAGGAAGCTGGGGCCGACCACACAGGTTCCCATGTTTTTATAGGAAACATTCTCTTTGGAATCTTGTGAGGTTTTGGTGTGAAGTGCCTGAGGTTTGTGCTTGTTTCTAGAAGGGATACAGCTGCAGCCAGATAATTATTAGTATTATTTACTAAATTATAATTGCCACATTATATACAGCTGCAGGCAGAATTATTAGCTCCCTTTGATTTTTTTTTCTTTTTAAAATATTTTCCTGAATGACGTTCAACAGAGCAAGGAAAATTTTCACAGTATGTCTGATAATATTTTTCTTCTGGAGAAAGTTGGCTATTTCGGCTAGAATAAAATGCAGTGGTGGCGAGGGGGCGGGGCCAAGAGCCTAGAGGCCGCCGCGTAAGTGGACACACCTGTGGCGCGCACCGGCCTCGAGTCAAGGAGCTCTTGGCTATAAGAGGAGGAACGATGGCAGAGGAGGCCGAGAGAGGACCGGGCCCGGACAGATTGTTTTACTTTTGTTTTCAGTTTGATGGCAGTCTTCATGAGGAGCTGCCATCCGTTTGTTTTGGTTTAGACCCTGTTATGAATAAATATTTTAAAAACTTCGTCGGTTCTCCACCTCCTTCTTCCCTGTGGCCAAAGGGCCGTAACCTTCATTACAGTGATGCCGAAACCCGGGAGAAAGAGGGACATGTTGTCCGGTTGCCATCGCCACTGAGAGGGAGGGCGAGTGTTCGGGAGTTAACCTGAGTGGGGGAGAAACCCGTTCGTCTGCCCTGAGTGCCAGGGCGGCCTGAGGCTGGCGAGGAAAGGATCTGCCTGCTGAAGTCTCCCAGCATGGGGAGGAGCAGGGGACGCAGGGCTCACCACCAGAAGGGAAAGCGCTGAAGGAAGCCATCCCACAGAACCCGGGGGAGTCGCCATGATGCCGTAGCTTGCATCATTCCAGCGAAGCGGGAGCGGAGACCAGAGATGCTGCCAGCCAGCCAGGAGAACCGCCGCTGGACACCAGAAGACGGACGGGTGAATAGATTCCTCCACAGGGCTCCAACACGTCGACACATCTCTCAGCTGGTGGAGGACCAAGTGGCAGCATGTCTGAAGAACCAAACCGTATATTCCGAAATATATATGCCTTCCGTTTGTTTTGGTTTAGACGGCAGCCTCTGTGAAGAGCTGCCATCCTTGTTATGAATAAATATTTTTTAAAACTTCGTCGGTTCTCCACCTCCATCTTCCCTGCGGCCAAAGGGCCGTAAATTTCATTACAGTGATGCCGAAACCCGGAAGAAGGAGGCACACGTTGTCCGGTTGCCATCGCCACTGAGAGGGGGGGGGAGTGTTCGGGAGTTAACCCTAATGGGGGAGAAACCCGTTTGTCTGCCCAGAGTACCGGGGCAGCCTGAGGAGCAGGGGACGCAGAGCTTACCACCGGAAGGGAAAGCGCTGAAGGGAGCCATCCCACAGAACCCGGAGTAGTTGCCGCAATCCGCCATGATGCCGTAGCTTGCATCCATCCACCCAAGCAGGAGTGGAGCAGGAGACCAGAGATGCCGCCAGCCAGCCAGGAGAACCGCCGCTGGACACCAGAAGACGGACGGGTGGATAGATTCCTCCACAGGGCTCCAACACGTCGTCGCATCTCACAGCTGGTAGAGGACCGAGTGGCAGCCTGTCTGAAGAACCAAACCGTATATTCCAAACATACACCTGGATACACCTGTGGTGTGCACCGGCCTCGAATCCCACGGAAGGAGCTCTGGACTATAAGAGGAGGAACGATGGCAGAGGAAGCCGAGAGAGGACCGAAGTTTTTTAACTATCGGTTCTACGATTCCTTCTTCTCGGCAGCCAAAGGGCCGTAAACTTCATTACAGCAGTTCTTAATTTTTTTAAACCCATTTTAAGGTCATTATTAGCCCCTTTAGGCTTTATTTTTCCGATAGTCTACAGAACAAACCATTATTATACAATGACTGGCCTAATTACCCTAACCTGCCTAGTTAACCTAATTAAACTAGTTAGGCCTTTAAATGCCACTTTAACTCAGTAATACGACTAGTATATCATGTTCACATCCGTCTGTATATATTACTAATAGTTTTCTATAATTGCACTTATTCCTTCTGTATATCCTGGTCATACTCCTGGTTAGATCTGAACCGCACTTCGCTGCATTGTCCTTTTACAATAATTGATTCATTTTCCTTCAGATTAGTCTCTTTATTCATCAGGGGTCGCCACAGTGGAATGAACCGACAACTTTTTTATACAGCGGATGCCCTTCCAGCTGCAACCCAGTACTGGGAAATGCCCATACACACTCATTCACACTCACACACATACACAATTTAGTTAATCAGTTCCCCTATAGCGC